AATGAAAAGCATTAAATCCTGCAAAACTCAGTGCATTGATCCAGAGTTTGGAGGAGGGTGGCAGAAATTATGTCATTAGAAATTAGCTTGTAAAACAAAGTTTTTTTTGTATGTATTTAACCTCTTGAAATGAGTGGCAGTCCCAGGAATTCATTGGCAGTTGTACCCTTATCTTTATCGGATGACCATAATGGAGAAACAGGTAGGTGGTACAATATGTCCACCTTCTGGTAAAGTGGCAGAAGTAACAGTTTATAAAATGAATTGATACGCACATGTTTACATATTTTGTAGACAACCTCACTCTGGGATGGACGCTAAGGTTGAGTCATTGGGTTGAATACTTTGTCCCATTTAGCTGAAGTGTTCAAACAGATGTCTGTGGCGTTAATATTAGATTGTGTTTAACCTTAAGAATCAGAAAGGATGAATTTCAGTTGATAATAGCAAAGAATTAAAATTGAGAACTTCAATTGTTAGATAAAAAAAGCTTGAGTGAGCGTATTTCTTGTTCTCTGTGTGGTTTTTTGAAAGATAATGAGGAAGCAGGGGAGGGTCTTATCTTTCATGCCTCTGGGTCTCTGCAACATTATCATGTCTGATGATCTTCATTCTTTTACCTGCTGGCAAGACCCTGGACTGTCACCATCCCTGGAAGTGTCCCTGATACCTTGGTGGTGTTACTTACTATGCAGCCCTGAGGCCTGTATTTTTACAGCATTCCCAGCTGAAGTGGGCGCTGGCTGTCCTAGTTGGCTTGTTTGGGGATCGCTAGCGCCCACCACCATAGGAGGCACTCAGAAGTGTTTGAGCAAATGTATGTTACTAAAACATGGGGAAGCAAAGAATATCCCCCAATTGTATGCTGTAGGAAAAGGTAAGTGAGATGATGGAATTAATCTATAAACAAGGACCATGAATATTTTTAAATATTATTCCAGGGGCATTAAATCCCTTGTACCTGCACACTTTTGAGCTCCTTTTGCAGATTGCTGACCTCCTGACTTAGGTCATGATGCATTCTAGGACAGGTAACTTAGAGGATAACAAATACACGGCTCTACAAGATGGTATTTTACCTAGAGCTCTAACTGCTCAGCTCTTTAGAGACCTGTTGGAACAAGTTAGGAAAACAAGCCTTGAGAAGTCACTGAGAGTGGCTGGAGCTGGAATGAGACGGAGAATGTGGAGAATGACTTCATTTTCATGAGAGAAACTTTCCCAGAGTTATTGTGATAAACAGATGCCACTTGTTCCTGCTGCAGTGGTATGTGGGAGAAGCATTGGCTGAGGTTAACCTGAGGGGCCGAGGAAGGGATGTGAGTCATAACATGCAGTTCTCGCTTGCTCTCTTTATTTTTCCCCCACCAAAAGAGTGAGCCACACCTGAAATTATGTGGAATCCATCTTCTTCTTAGTTTGGCAAACTGAAATTAGCTAAACAGACTTGTTTGTACTTCCGGATATGCTTATCTTTAGCAATTTAATTTCCTTGATGGCCTGACTGAGAAATCCTTCATAGTTTAAGGCAGCTAGTGCTGTAGAAAGCTGCATGTCTCTGGTTGGTAACTTGAGCACAGCAGAGATTCTTAGGCTGTTTTGCAGGGACCAGTTGGCATAATCAGAAGAGTGAATCAGGCCATGTTTCTGTGTTTAGCCCTTGAATGGGCCATTGAAAGGGGCTGTGCTTGTGGTTCTCATCTGATTCTCAGGCGTCATGAGGTGGATTGAATGAAGACATATACTTGGGTTTGTGTGACTCGGTCCTGACAGGTAGGCTAATTCAGAGGCATCTTCTATTGGCACCAAGTGGAGCTTCATCAGTCTCCAGAGCTGCGCAGGCTCCCTGTGGGTGGTACAGAGTTAAACATGCTTTGGATGTAGTCACATCAGTGCCCAGTTGTGGCTCTGACTCCTGACCAGCCTGTTTGTTGTCTCCGTGGAGGCCTGGGCCTTAGAAGGACAAATGCAGCCTCCATCTCTACAATCTGTTGAAATCAGACCTGTCATCAATTTTGTGCTTAATTGTGTTAGGAAAGATTTGTGATGGTTTTGCTGTTCAAAGAGAGAAAGAATTAAAATTAGAATTTAGGTAATGCATGCCATCAAGGGGTAAAAACAAAATAATTCAATTTGTTTGAGCTGGGTTCTTTCCTGTGGCATTAAACAAAACCGCTAGTAATAAGCACTAACCCAGAAACAGTTAAACACACTCCCAGGAAGCATCCATTAAGGATTTTTGTGGAATAGCTGCTAATCCAGCATCCAGGTGTTCACAGTGTTAGCAAGCCGGATGGAAGAGGCGTCACAGTGGGACTTCTCAGGGTGAGCTGGCTGGATTCCTTAAGTTCTTTTTCCTTGTCCTAAGCTGCTTGTTTAACCCAGTGAACTCAGTCCAGCTTTTCATATCTGTTATGAACATGTGGGCCATAAGTCCTGTTTTGCCACACTGTCCCAGTTTATACCTGTTGTGCCAGCTCAGTAAGTGGCATTTCCATTCTCAGAAGTATCCAGGTTTTGACAATGAATTAGGTGCTAATCATAATTAGAAGGAAATAAAATGATCAAGTGATCAAATAAGCTGGGTGGTTGATTGGCTTACCCTGACACAGTCTTCATAGTGAGTAGTATCCTTCATGTTTATTAAAGAAATTATTGTCACCTTGGTGGGGAGCACTTCTCAACTTCAAGCCCAGCCTTATGTGCAGTGTTGATGTAGTTTGTGTTAATAGCATTTGGTGACATAAATGATTAGCAAGGCTTTCTGTAGTATCACTAATACCTTAAGGGGTGCATTTCATTTCCATATTGAACCTTGGTTAAAACCCGAGCTTCTGGAGCCTCATTCTCTGAATCAGGATCCTAGAAACAGCCTCTCTGAACTGTGTGGCCTTGGGAACATTCCTAAACCTCTTCCTCCTAATGTGGGGCTAGGCAATGCTCGTACTTCCTCTCGGGGATGAAATGGGTGGATGCAAGTCGGGAGCTGGGAACAGTGCCTGGAGCAAGGGCCCAGCAAACATTAGCTGTTTTTATTTCATTAGAAAATAACCAGTCAGTATTGAAAGTACTAGAAAGAAGTGTATGGGAGGGACTGGGAAGGAGCAGAAAACTTGAGACCTTGGGCAGTGGTGCCATCAGTTTAAAATCGCAACAGCTGGCTTACTGTCTTCTCTCAGTGTGGCACAGGGTGAGAGGGTCCAGGTGTATCTTTCTCCCATGTCCTTGCTTAGGCCTGTGAGGCCCACAGCCTCCCCCTAGGCCTGCACTAAGCTGGGTGCAGGGCCAGGCAGGGCAGAGACCTAGCTTGTCCATCATGTCTGAGGGCTGATCAGCAGGATTGGGTGCAGGGTTGTTAATGGGAGTGAAGGAAAGAGGGGTGCATAGGGTGACTCGTATTTCCAGTTCAGGTACCTGGGTGGGTGGTGGTACAGTTAACCAAGTTCAAGGGTAAGGAGTCTCCTTGGATGAGGTTGGGAAAGAAAGGATGCAGTCTAGGTGATAGCATGGACTCCCTGGCTTCCTAACCTGCCACCATTACTTCACTGGCCAGCCCCGTTCCCCATCGGTGAGTGAGTCTCAGTTTTGTCATCTGTAAAATGGGGATAGTAATGGGATACCTCCTTCATAGCATTTTTGTGAGGATTAAAAAGATTCATGTACGTACAGTGCTTGGGAGAGAGACTGGTAAGCACTAATAAGATTTAATCATTATTATTATCTTTATCTGTTATTTTAAGGGCATCTATAGGGTGTATGTAGCTGTCTTTCATATAGCATGTGCAGAGAACATAGTAAACTTCAAAGCAGGCATCTAATGAAGCTTGTATATGAACTTTATAGAATCACTTACTTTTTTTACTGTTTTTATGATTATGGAGAGATGGGAAGAAAAAACAATTTGCCTTATTATTTATTAATTTATGGTTAAAACTGTATCCCTTGCCAAATTTATTTAGGCCTTACTGGTATCTGGAGGCTTGGGTTTTTATATACCTTAAAACCTTAGGCATATTCTTTTCTCTGTTCACAGGAGGTTCAGGAACCTGGATGAGGGTTCTCAACAGAAGCAGTACTGCCCTGAGGGCTGTTTGTCAGCTTTGGAGGGTTGCTTGTGCCCATTTCGGCTGCATGGGGCCATGGATGCTAGATGTCTTGCAAAGTATGAGGCAGTTTTGCATAGTGAAGTATTGTCCCATGCTTCTTAAACTTTCCATGGGTGAAAAACCTGCTTATAAATGTATGAGCTCAGAACTTAAGTCTATTTTACTTATAAAACATTTTTGCCTGGTTTAATTGCATGCCAGCCAAACTTTCCCAGGAATGTAGCTACTGTCTAAATACTCAATTTTATTTGGAGTTGTCTCAAGAATTATGTACCATTTTAGAAAGCCACATCACCAATGGTGATGACGTAAGTGGAATTTGGATCACAAGTAACATCTGTAGCTTTTGAGTCCATATATATAGATATAGTCCAACTACATGTTGAATGAAGGAATGTTTTCTCATATAGTTGCACCTAAGTATTTGATACTAAATTACATATCATTTAATCAGAAATCTCTCTTTCTGTTTTTCCTTTATGTTATGATTATGGCTATGTACACATAGGCAGGCAGTCATTGATTTTACAGTTCTGACATACATGTATTTGACTTACTGTGATTTAGTTAAATAATCTCAGTTTCCCAGCAACATGGTTCAAATTTCAGTTGCCAGTATATTAGCTGTGAATAATTGCACAACCTTGGCTGCTAACTCTCTCCAGTTCACCGCTGACTGTGTAAATAATACGTGTACATCACAATCAGTTAACAGCTGCATCACCTCTTTCAAAGCCAGTCAGTGACTGGTGTGGGAGCACATCTGTGACTCAGCTCCTGCACATGCAGTACAACTGCACAGGGTGTCACCATGTTGCATCCTTGCTTGCCAGGGATAAACCTCACGACATTCTACAGAAATGTATAATTGGAAGGAAGACTTGACAGACCAAAATGAAAGTACAACAGAGAAGTGAAAAAGCGGTAACACTGGAAGTGAAATTCAAACCGAATGTAGATACAGTTATAGAAGAAATACCTGATGGAATGTCGAGCCTCCTGGTCTGCAGCCAGGGGACCTTAGCGAAGGCAGACTTGCTGACTGAGAGCGCTGCCCGAGTAAGAGATGCTGGCAAGAAACTCACATTCAAGGAACTTTCAGAGATAAGATTTCCCCCACTGTCCGAAAGTAGAACGTTATATGAAACTTTTCCTAAGCCAAAATGGTGTAAAGCGAAGAAGCAATTTACCATTACTTTACATGAAAAAATTTGTGAGCATTCCCAGATACCAGACCCAAAAAGTAACCTCTCTTAGGCTTTTCTGATATCTTAGGACACATCTTGCTAATGGATGCACAGAACAACTCAAGATAAAGCACAGATGCTCACAGACACTGTGCAGAGCTCTGGCAGCTTGAGGCTGAGATGCTGAGTGTGGTCTGGGGAAGGACTTGGTGGGGCCTCTCCTGCTTGAGTGTGTGCTGCCTTTCTTATGGGAAACAAAACAAACACCGAATGCCATTTTAGTTTTTCACCATTTTTTTTTGTAAAAGGAAAAACCCTCTTCAGATTTCATTCTGTTAGCAAAAACAGGTACTCATGTAGGTCTTCTGCAAAAGTAAAGTGGTATAAAGTGAGCTTTTGGAAAGTGGGGGATACTGTGTTTCATGATATTAAAAGCACAAAGGATAAAATGTTGGAAGTGAATTCAAACTTAGGAGTGTGACAGTTATACAAGGCATAGAAAAGATGTTCACTCCATACTGTAGATTATATACTGAGAAAGCCCTGTTCAACCTATTTGTATATTTTTCTATTTTACAAGAAAATCACTTTAATTTTCGATATTTCCAATGTTTGAAATTTACTCTTTTTTTTCATTTGCCTATATGAAAGTTTTTAATATTTTGACAAACTTTTTTTAAGGTTATGGGACAATCATAATTTTTCCTACTGCTTAAGATTGCTTTGCACAGTTTCAGTTTTGCACACAGTTCCACACAACCATGCAAAGTGAGTTCTCTGTGTGTATGTGTGTGTGTGTGTGTGTGTTTATGTTTGTATGTGTAGGTAGGTAGGTCGTATCATCTATGGCTTTTATATGTGAACTAAAAATATATTGAAGGATATCTTATAAAAATTTCATTGGGTTTGATGGAGTTTAGAAGCATTGATATGGATTGCAAATTTATACACTATAAGCATTCGGCCTGGCATTCATTTCCTTATGTATTTTTCATCCTTCCATTCTGTTTAATGGTCATGATTCTCTTGGTGCATAAAGTGACATACAAAAATTTAAAGACATGTATGATACAGCTTTTTGAAAAATATATAGAGATATTGTTGGTAATTGGCAGATGACTTCAATATTATTAAAAATATTTTGGTTTAGACTTGTGGTTGCAATCTTAAGCACTGACTGGGATTTTATAAAACTAAAAACTATCACAAGTTAAGGGGCTGAATCACATTCATGGTACTAAATCCGTTAGCTCTCATTATACATGTTACATGTTTGCATAATGTACAGAGGCTAATGTGTCCAGAATTGTTGGAAAATCTTGTTTGTAACCCTTAAATATAGACATAGACTTGGAAGCTTTTGGAAATCTGGTTGGTGTTCTAGAAACCTGTTCATAAGCTAAGCTGTATCTAGTTAGATGTGAAGCTCATTTCTGAGAGTTTCTTTGGAGACTGCCCAGGCTGCAGCCACTGGGTATTTTTCTGGCATTATTCCAAGAGAAATTGGCCACTTTGATTAATAATGTTCACTTTCTATGAAGCTGTTTGAAATAAAGAAATTTCCAGTTTAGTTCTATACCTTGAGTTTCCAAATGATGAGAAAATAGATTATGTGGTCTAATAGCTACCTTATACAGTTCTTATCAACTTAGATGATTTCTTATTTCATCATTGTTGTTTATAAGAAAAACTTAGGAATATTCAAAACAAAATTTGCCTCTTGAATGCCTATGAGTTTCTTGATAACTTAAGAATGTTAACACCAAATCTTTTCCTCCCTCATCAACTCTATCATGATTTTTATGCACTTTTGAAATAATAGCTAAATTAGTTTTTCCTGTGAAATGCATGTATATTGTAGCCTTTTTAGTTTTTGTTCTATTTACATTTCTAACTTCTTTCAGATCATAATTATTATTTTCAGCCATTTCCATCTTACATTTTTCTGGCAGCTCCAGAGAGAGTGTGTGTGTTAGCATTAAAGATGACTGAAGGAAGACTGGAGGGAAGAGCTAGGCCATGTTACTGTGTAGTCACTTGCTGTAAATAGGACACGTTTTCTTCAGCTGTTTCACCAGTTTTACCATTAGATGGTGGTAGAGGGCAGGGGGTATGCTAAAAAAAATTGCTGATCCCACAGATACTTGCATTATGTTAAAGTTTGAAGATGTTTGCTCTTAAGAAATATTTACTTTTAGAATTCACTTAGGGATATCCAAATATTATTTCACGTATTATGTTGAAGACACTTTTTTTTCCCTTACGTGGTGTATTCCTAGTAAGTGTTTATTCATTTATTAACTGTCTTATGTTTAGTCTACATGTATAAAATTTAAGTGATTGTTAAGCTTTATTTTTTCCTTAATTTCTTAATATATTTTTCTTATATTAATATTTTCCTAGTATATCACACTTCTCCATGGTGATCATTAAAATTCTTGATGTTTAGGCTTTACTTTCTTAATTACATACATGTGTGCATGCATGCAAAATTTTGCCATAACAATGTATTATAAATTTATGGATTTTCCTAGTTGCCATTCCCTGAAGCTTTAGTTAAGAAACAAAATACTGTTATATTGTTTAGAAATGAGAAAAAAATAGTATGGATGGAATAATGAATTTAACAGAGTTAGTAATACACATACCAAAAAGATTTTCTACAAGGTCAGTGTCTTTGAATGTAAGTCTTAAGAAGGATACAAAATTTTAAAAAAATTCTCTGAATATGTTTCTCATCGGCCTATAAAGAATAATAGCTTTATCATTTATTACTCCTAAAAATCTTGAAATACTAAATATAATCCAAAAACTATGTAAAATTTTATGTTTCAGATTGTTTCCAATCAAATAGGATTCTTGTTTTCTTCAGCATTAATACAATTTTGTATTAACCTCTGATTAATTTTATACTATTTTATAAAAGAGGACGTTCATCTTTAGGCCACAGGAAGGGAAGCAGGGCTGTAAGCTGATGCTTAGTACGATTTGCTTGGGGGAGAAAGCGAAAGAGGAAATGAATGGGGAGATCCTGCCCCCAGCAAACCAGGAAGACAAGAAGAGCAAGCCCATCACCATTGCCTCGCTCCAGGCCTCTGTGCTGCCCATGGTCGTCGTGACAGGATTTGAGATTTCTCCCCCAGTCACTCTTCAGCTCCAAGCTGGCACAGGACCTGTGTCCCTCAGTGGCCAGGAATGTCACCACCTTTCAGAATCTATCCTGAGAAGGGGAGGGGGAAGAGCATGATAGATGATGGCGATGAGGATGATGTAGATATGTCACTGGAGGAGATGAGCACTGTCAAAGTCAGGAGGCCGGCGCCCCAGAAGCAGACAAGCATTGCCAGGAAGAAAAGGTTGGAAAAAGAAGAGGAGGCACAAGACCCAGTCTTAAAGACAAGAGCCTTAGGAGGAAGGCCAAACCCACAAGCAAGCCTAAAAAGCTGGAATCCAAGAAATGAGGAGCCAGGAATAGCCTGGCTGCAGTGACCAGCATGCAGAGTGGGAAACCAGCAGACCAGGGGTGCTCCCTTCATCCAGCCCAAGTCTGAATTGATGGTGATGCTGGGGACAACAGAGGGGCTTCTCATCCCAACTCTCTGGTTTCAGCAGGACCCGAAGGGAAGAGCCCCAACCTCAGGCCCATAATAAAATTTGCTTTGCCTGGGAGACGGGGGGGAAATATATATATATATACACACACACACACACATACACATATATATACATATATATGTATATATATATACACTAATTTTATACTATTCCTGTTGATATTATTTTACTTGCCTAAACAGTAGGCCTAGACACATAAGTTTTTGTAACCACTGTGGGCATTGGTGTAAAGTATAAAATCCCACTGTGGGATTTTGATGTTTTTTGTGACATGGTTTTTAAAAAAATGGGGCTAATGCTATTTCTTTTCCTAAGTTACTGTTTTAAGATATCCACTGATTTAATAATGCCATTTCAGGGAATAAAACCACCATCACATTAAATATGCCTGCTAACTATGCAGCAGTCCAATTTTAAAATGAGACTGAAAATATTTTAAAAATCTCTTCGAATTTAGGCCAGAATTAGAGGATTAAATGAAGTCTGGGATATGAATAGTGTTTGGTTAATTCCAGAGCACTAAACGGGAGCCATTTGATGCTGTTAATTGTGGTAGGCTCGTAGTTTTTGGTTTCTAAGGGGATCATGCCTTCAACAGCACACTCAGGCAGAGTGAAGTAAGCAGTACCACCTTTGAGATTTTTGACTGGGAGCTCTGATGTAGTGGAAATAAGAGATGGAGAGGACTGGGTACATCATATTGAGAGCATTTTCCCAGCCACAGCACTGTTCCCTTCTTTTTATATTGAGTAGCTGTAACTCCTCCTGGGCATTATGGGGAGGGTGTAGAAGGAAATTAGCCTTTCAAACTGCCTTTCCTCATTAGCTGGTCTGAAAAAATGGCTCCCTTAACCTAGTTAGTGGCACAGAGTTGGAGGTGGCTATATAAATGACACTGAGGTGTGTATTAATTCATGTATTAGAATTTATGGAATTGTAATCTTGATGGAGAGATGGGTACAGGTCCTCAGGTAATTCTTTTAACCCCTTTGCTACCAACGCCTCTGCCAAACCTGACTCACCTACCAGGCATTCAGTGGTCTCCAGATTCTGTTCTTGGACCTTACGATGGTAGTCATTGTTGGGCTACAGTATTCTTGTGCCCTTATTTTGGTCCACTTCAGCTTTTTAGAATTTTGCATATAGTTTACAAGAGTCTGAAGACAGTATTGTAATGTTTTATATGTGTGTGTTCTTTGTTAACCATAATGCCCTGTTTTCATCAGCAAACATACCTTCACTCTTTTAATGCTTCCCCAGCAACTTGTACAGTGTTAGGAACATATCAGGCAGTTAGGCAGGCCCAAGTGGCTGAAGGCTTTGAAAAAGAATAAAAGCTCAAGGGTTTATCTCAAAGAAGGAGAAAATATTCTAATATTTAAAATACCCTTTTTTGACTTGCTTTATTGAATACTATCTTTCAACTTAAGGTGAAAATTTTAAACTAATGACATCCTTGTTAAAGGTAAGATAGATCTTAAAGGGAAGACTAATTTACTAGTTTTTCTAAAATAAAGACTATTAAACATTTTTTTTTTGATAAACTATGTATACTTGGTTATAATGAAGCCCTATATTCTCTACCCCTAACACATGAGGATTTAAATGCAGCATAGGGGTATAATAGTGACAAACATAAGTTCAGAGAGTTTTATCCAAGGTCCACTTGTCTTAATATTTAATCACATTTTTCTCTCTCCAAAAAAACTTAACTTTAAAATCAGTTAGTTGAACTGTATCTTTCAAATACATTGCTTAAAAAATATAGATGAACCTTTCCCTCCTATCTCCAGACTACACAAGGTTTTCTAATGTGCATAAGATACTGATGAACACAGTGAAGGGGATGATGGCCAAAAGTCTTAAATGTTCATAGATGGAATGACAGAAAGCTGGCAGTTAATATTTGCTCAGTTATGCCAGCAATAAATGAGTTGTACTGCAAACAGCAAAATCTTAAACTGCAAGCCTAGCGAGAGCTCTCTTCTCTGTGCTTCCTGTTCTCTCAGAAGTGGCTTCAGAGCAGCAGCATTTCATGGGACGTGGCTGCAGGGCACTCACCTGGCTTTGGGTTTTCCTGTCTCTGCTGTCTCCTCCTTCAACTTGGAGTCATGGACCCTCCGGCTCAGCTCCACACAACCTCTTGTTTATCTCACTTTTTGGTATGCCTTGATGTTTTTCTAAGTGCCAAATTATACCCAAATTTCACACCATTTTCTCTATCCATATTTTGATGGGCCAAAGCAAGAATAATGAAAAGAAATATTTATTTACACTTTGTACATATTGACTTCAACAAACAAGAGAAGGCCAAGTGGCCTTTGACTCCTACACATCAGTGTAATCATAATATATGCGGACTTCCGACCTTCTGACACTTTGCAGTGATCTGATGCTTTCACTCCTGGTTCTGATATTTGATTTCTTGAAAAGTCTTCTTGAAAATGACCTACACATGAAAAAGTAAATTATTGGATCCAGGCACACATTGCACGCAGACAAGAAAAGTGTCATTTCTTTGCAGTAATATAGGATTTTGTGTGCAGATTCATCTAAAAGCCTGTCTAAGTGAATAAATGTAAAAGGAATTCTGCACAAGTGATATGGTAGAAAGCAGGTAAAAAACACAGCCACAACCACCCTGATGCTCTGGTTATGTTTTCGCTTTCTGCTTGACTGACTTATGAATTGCCTGCTGGATTTATGGATGTACCTGGAGATGGCTATGTAACATCCGATTAGTATAACAAGCACAGCCACAAACAAGCAGCTGTTGACATAAATGACTGCCTTATGCCATTTGACTCCCAGGGGACTTTTAAGTTTCATGCAGTCATGAATATTTTCCTTAGTCAGTTGACCATTTGTTAGAATCATGTTTGGCAAGGACAGAACAGCCATGATCAGCCAAACACAAATAGATAAAACCTTTGTAAAGGTTATGCTGTACATGCGAGAGTCCCCAAATGGCTTAACCACCTTCAAATAGCGATCAATGCTTATCAGCCCAAGAAACACAATGGAAGTATACATGTTTGCATAAAATAAAACTGAAGTGTATCTGCAGAGGATAAACTTGAAGTACCAAGGTCCAAATCCGGCATCATGGACTATTCGAAATGGAAATGTCAGTGTCATTATGAGGTCAGCAACCACTATGTTTTTGAGATAAAATATGAAGCTGGTTTTATTCCTAATGTGGAAGAAGATCCACACTGCGAGGCCATTCAGCAAGATGCTTGCCACAAATATAATGAGGTAAAGCACAGGCAAGACGATAGTGTCAAATTCATTGTTAATGGTGGTGTTCTTTCCTGATCCATCACTCGTGTTACTTGGAGTGTGACTTCCTTGGTTGTGCAGGTCATCATCTGTAGGAGAAGTGGGGAGACATCATGTCAGTGCTTCACGTGTGTACCCCACAGACTGCTAGGCTCCCTTATGGGCTGCACTATCGTTGTTTGAGGCAAGTTTCAAAACGCCTTTAGCAGCTTAAATAGTCAGTGTGTAGTGCATTGTTAACGTTTTGAGTAGCCAAAGAATTGGTGGCCTTCTCCCCAAAACACCCATCCCCACCTTCCACACACACATACACACCTCGAAGCCCCTTGAGTAAAATGTGACACTTCTAGTTCTTGCTGCCAACCTTTTGAAAATGAGAATAAATATGCCAATGAAAATTATCCTGGTTTTTAATTCAGTGTTTAATATCATTAAAAATAGAATCAACAGAACCTGGGGGCAGGAAATTGAAATTTCCTATAACAAAATAAAATGGCTAGCACGTGGTTATTCTTTTAGTATAGTCTGGCACATTCTCTGAAGTATCATTTTTTAATCCCAGTTTTAGGCTGTTGAATCATCAAGAATTGGGTAAGAGTAAAACTAGTGGGTCATTTTGAATTTTTTGCCCATGAATTTCTTATAGTACATAAGAACCTTTGAGAGATGATTGCTAAGACTGGAAACAAAAAGAAACCATTGTTCTTAATATCTAAGTTTATTATCAAGGAGGACAGTTTGTTAAAAGTAATTGTAGGTTGGCACATGTTTTTATTTACAAAGTTAGATTATACCTCTTGCACTTATTATATAAAATTTGTGAACCTTTCATCTTTTGGGAACTTTTAGTTCATGTTAAACACCTACATTGTACGGCTCCATCATATAATCAGTGGCACCATTTATGGGCATCGGATTTACATGGCAGCCATGAAAATGGGTCCCTTGGGTCCCTCACTGAGGGGAGTGAATCCAGTGGGCCACCCCAGCTTGGCCTGTGACCCCACACCCTGTTCTTGCTGAGGCCTCACTCCCTTTCCAAGGACTGCTCCTAGCCAGGAACTGAGCACTGTGAGGAGGCTGAGGCGGGTCTGTGCTGGGGCAGGAGGTTTTCTCTGTCTGATGGCTTTGGCTGGAGGCCTCCCCATCGGTCTGGTAAGAACTGTCCTCAGGCTGTACTGCATCTGAACCTCCCTCCTCAGCCTCCTCGCTCCCCTCTCTTCTGTGCTGGAAACAACTGCATTTCAGCCTGCAATCCCTTGCAGGATTTTCCCCCAGTAAATCTCTTGGCCATCCAGTTACATTTTGTCATCTGCTTTTTATGGCAGGGTGGGTAAACCTGAACTAACACATTTACAAATGAATGTTTTGGATGTTAAGGTTACAAGGAAGGTCATTTCTTAATTTTTACTCACTTATTAACGTTTACAATCATTCCAATTGGGTTTTGGAATGATTTTGTTTTAGAGGTTAGAGTACAAATTTAGCCCCCATTTCCCTACACAGCAGGCAATACAGTAGGTATTTTGGTTTCTTTCTTTGAAGAAGTGAAACAGAGAAGACAGTTTTGATGATTATAATCCAAAACAGGTTCTTAAATTGCTGCCTGAAATTTCAGTGTAGGCTCTTCCTAAGTAACCTTTGTCCTCTTTCAAATTCTTTCCCTTTTATTCCCTGCTTATAGTGTTTTTAAAAACTGGTTTTCCCAGCTTAAATATCCTCACACAGGCTAGTAATTTATTCCTGACTAGCCTGTTATGATGAGACCCACAGTATTATTAAGCTTTACAAGCTTGAAATGCCTGATTCAGCTGCCATCTTTATTACTGTTGCCAGTTTCAAATATTGTCTTGAACAGTATCATTCAAGCCTCTTTTGACTTGATGAAGTGCCACAGACTTGGCTGGTTCTGAGGCCCATGATCCACATCTGCAGTCAGGCTATTTGAAGCTTCTAAAGATGTACAGTTTTACCTGGGTTAAGACATCTACTTGAATTAATTTACCCAATTAAATTTTTAGCAGTCACTTTTATGTAACCCAGAACAGAACCCTAAGGGAAATAGAGAGAGGTCAAGTAGGTTGTAATCAGGATAAGTGGTCCAATTCAGGGAGGGACATAGACTGAAAAGGGGCAGGCAGCTACATCATCTCCTGAAACACTGGCTGTGCCTTGTAACAACTACAGATGGCTTTGGAAGCCACTGTAAATGTAAATAGAATGGTCCACGAACTGTGGCATACCAATAGGCTTGAAGTATTTCAACTCTCAGTATAAGCTCACTGGGTCTGCTCTGCATATCCTTTGTGGAATGGAGGGCCCATACTTCCCAGGATTGGTTAGGGATTGTGTGTCTCTTTGGTATATCATAGTATATTAAAGTTTTAATCTGTGAACAAGCACTCTTATTAAGTGACAATTTACTGATCAATTATGATTATTAAAGGTAGAGTCTTAAATCAGAGTGCCTCATAAATGTCTCATAAATGTTAAGTGTTAAGCACTAGTGGCCTCATTCCACAGTGGTTATAGAACTGTTCTGTGGCTTTGAGAGTCTGGTGTTGAGCTTGTTGATTGTGTCACCTCACAGTATTTGCTTCCTTAGTTTATATGTGGGATTCACATTTTGGAACATGGGATTTATTAATTCAGTGGGATAGGCTTGTGCTTGGTTATTGCTTCATTCACAAATTCCACATTTACAACGCAGCTTAAACAAATTAGTGGTTAAAGCCTGTTATGGGTTATTTTATGAAATAATACAGTAGAAAAAAAATGGTTCTTAAGAAGTAGGGAGAGCCATCTGTGGGTTTCCCTAGAAGGCTCAAAACTTAACAGGCAGCATTTTGTCTGATTTTTTTTTTTTTAAGAACTAAGTATATGTCATATTCTTTCCTGTCAGCTATTCCCATCATTTCTTCTCTTCTGTATCACTGCTCCGGAGTTTTTCAAAGCTTGTGGATGTGCTCAGAAGCATTTTTTTTGTACAATGTCCTGCTCAGGAACAATGACCATTAAAACTGAATGACTTTCTTCACTCAGGTAGTTTTAAAATATTGTTCTTCACTTTCAATAAAGAACTTGACTAAAGGAACATTTTTAATGACAGGTAGCTTAGTGATTCAATTAATAAAAATTAAAAGGTGTTTTTACAGTGTAAAGGCTGTTTTCTCACATACTCCTTGTTACCTAGGATAGTATTACCTGTATTACTTAGTGCAGAGCTTAAAAATTCCTTTGTTATTCTCTGTCCTGTCCACCCGCCACCATCTCCTTTTAAATTAACAAAGACAGTGACATAAGAACTCTAGTCCATAGTAAATTACCATTTTGTGCCAGTGTGTGTATGTGTGAGTGGTATTGTGGTATGTGTGTTGGTTTGTGGCTGTCTATGTTTGTGTGTAAGGGGGATTGTGTGTGTTGGAGAAATGGATGGCATTATAGCCAGCAACAGCATTAACCGTACGTGGCTACTCTATTGGACAGTGAAGACCAAGGCCATCTTCATCGTTGCAGAGTCTTATTTGACAGCACTGGGTTAATCACTTCATGACTTTGTAGACTGGAATAAATAGTAGCCATTTAGCTGTATCTCCAAGAGTTAAATTTGCTATGAACAGTATTTGCACTTAGTAGGTGTTCTCTCTGTAATGTAAGGCCCTAATTACCATTTGTCTCATGAATAGCAGTCACCTTATGAGCGATAGAAAGAGTGGTGAAGAATCTTGGTCCTTCTGCTTTTGGTGAAGCTACATTATTGTTCATTGGGGTGTGTCACCCTTTGGCACAACATGTGAAAGTAACAACATGTCACTGCTCTACCTGTCAGGTGGGAATGAAATATTAAAGTTATGCAAATTACAGGGTGTCACTAACCATGGCACAGCTGCCCTTGTGTGATTATTTTCTAACTAGTTACCTAGTACAATAGGAAGATGTTGTTTTTGGCCTCTTTGGGAACCTCAGTGAACCTCAGTTTAGGCTATTACATCTGGAAAGTAACACATACATTAGTTTGGATATAAAAATATTTCCCAGATGTTATTAACTGAATTTTCCTTGTCCTTTTAGAGATGGTCTCTAGATGAAACAAAGCTTAAAATGAAGTGATAGCAAACTAAATGTCTCTCAGTGATGTCATCCTGCATGTCTGCTGTATTATACTTAATGAAAGGCCAGGTAAATGCTGATTAATTTTGTTAGCTGATTTGGTGGCCAATTAAAACACCAAAATTGCCACATAGTATAAATAACAGTTATTGATCAAGTAAGATTTTCTTTGCAAGTTTTCCTATGGCTTTCTTACCTGGTAATTTTGTGAGTGTCAAGTTGAGCCCCATTCTTTAGTTGTGATGGACTGTAAGTAAAAATACGTGTCAGGAAACACTTGGGGATGATTGAGGCAGGGGTTCAGCATAGGTTATACCTGGCTTGATTTCTAGGGGAAAAAGGGAAGAAGAATAAAAGAAGTTGGGAAGGAGTTTGAATACAGAGTATTTTTTGGTTGTTTGTTTGTTTAAAAAATCTCTATGTAATCAATATATATAAGCTTCCATGATTCTGAAAAAGCATAATCTTTGTATATGAACATCAGAGCCACACAGTAGGTCTATTTTTGTGTCCTCTTTCAGCCTGCCATGAAGCATGGGCCAGTTCTGTGTATGCCATCCATCTGAGTCCCACTGCATGGCCGTGGGAAAGTTACTTAACATTTCTGTGATTCAGTGGCCTTGTCTCTGAAATGAAAATGATGATCATCATACCACAGGACTATAATAAGGATTATGTGAGATAATCCGTAAAGGCACTTGCAGAACATGGGTCCAAGAACGCATGTGGGACACGCTAGCTTATGTCTTCTCATCCCTGCTTCTATTTCATGCTTCCCACCCCCTGAACAGATAATTAAATGCATCTATGATGTGACTTGTACACAATTAGAGATTGTTAAAACATTTTTAAAAACATCTAGCACTGATATATGTGAAAGTGTTTTATAAGCTCAAAAGCATTCAGCATCCTATTCTTTTTGTAATCTCTGGGGTTCTGGTTGTGGCCTTACACTAACCAGCTTTGTGACCTCCATCAAGTCACCTGACCTTTCCAAATTGGACTAAAGGACCTAGAAAATCTCTTATCAGGACTCAAATTTGCCTGAGCTTCTGGTTTCCTCAAACACTGATTCCCATTAAGAATTTAGTATCATTTGAATGTCTGACTTGTAAGTACCGGTATTTCTTTATGATAACTGTATTCCATCCAACTTCCACATTTGACCATGAATGAATAATGCAATTGGCTTTGAGTGACTGTGTGTGATTTTGGCCAAACACCTTAATTTTTCTGAGCTTCAGATTCTTCAAAACATTTTTAAAATGATTAACCTAAGACTGTAAGTGTATATAACTTTGTATGCTATAAAACTTTTCCCCCACTTCTCCTTCAGCAGCCACATCTATTTTCTGTTTCCTGGCTTCCCTCAGGTGTTTTATCAAAGGAAGAAGAATCCTGGGAATGGTCTTGGGAACGGTCCTGGAAAGTGTGCTGCTGAAGTCAGATGTGTTTATGGACTGGTGTGCTGTAGGGGAAGTTATGCTGTTTCTCATGAAATGAAACCATGTGAGACTTCATGTCCCCTCCCTGATGTTGTTCATACACCACGCAGCTGCAGAGAGACCCCAAGTAACCTCATCCCCTCCAAATACAAAGCACCTTTTGGCTAGTGTAAGCAGTTACATTTGCTCAGTCAGCAGGGAAAGATTACTTCGGAGGCAAAAGGACATAAGTGAATTTGGCAGCCAGCGAATAGGCTCTCTTTCTGTGACAATGTCCTTCTCTTCTGTTTCCTTGTATCACATGGAGCTTGGGTGCTGGATTTGGTAGTAGATGGAAAAAATGGTTTCCAAACTTTCTGTGTTTTTTTTTTCCGGTACAGATCATCTCTTTTGTGAGTTTAGACATCTTATCTGTGCCTCACCTTGAACCACAACAGTAAGTGGTACATAGCAGGCACTCAGAATACATTTTTTGGTAAATAGGACATAGGCAATAATAGTTACAACTCTTAGCGTCCTTCCTTCTTGGGTGCCAGTGTTGTAGTATTTTTAAAGTGAGGCAAGGAGATGAAACCCTACTTTCTTTTTGTTAAAGTGTACTGAGGAGAATGACTGAGGCAATTGGTTTTCTAAACTTTAAAATAACTCTCCTTGATTTCAGTAAACTTTCTTCCTTGAATGCAGCTTCTCATGGAAATATCTCAAGGGGTTGACTTGGTGAACACATCTTTCATTTTATGTTTGTTCCCAAGGTGGGTGGCTCTCCTCCTCTTGGCTTCAGTCATACCTACTCAGTAACAGGGCCCCCAGTATGGCTCACCCCACTGGGGGAGAAGCAGTGTCTAGAGGTGGAGGAGCTGCAAGCAGTAGGAGGAGGAATAGTGGACAGTTAGCCTCTAAGGAAGAAACAGAAAAGAGACTGGGAGAAAACATTTGCATATAACATTTCTGGTAAAGGATTCGTATTCAAAATATACAAAGAACTTTTACAACTTCCTAATAAGAAAATTACCCAGTTAAAAAATGGCCTAAAGATTTGTACAGACATTAGACACACACACACAGATTATCTACATCATTTGTCACTGTGGAAATTCAAATAAAAACCACAACAAGATACTGTTTCACACCTACCAGAATGGCTATAAATAGAAAAGACAATAACAACTGTTATCGAGGATGTGGAGAAATAGGAAACCTCATATATTGCTGATGGGAATTTAAATGATATGGCCACTTTGAAAACAGTTTGATAGTTTCTTAGAAAGCTATACCTTTATTTGTTATACAACTAGTAGTTCCACTCATAGCTATCTGCCCAAGTGACATGAAAATATAATAACTATGCAAAGACTTGTATGAAAATGTTTTTATTCATAATAGCTAAAAGTCAAACCAACCCAAGTGTCAAATGATGAACGGGTAAACAAAATGTAGTATACAATATATACTACATTGAAATACAGTTCAGCAATAAAAAGAAATGAAGTACAGCTCTAATAAGGATGAATCTCAGAAGCATTTAGTGAGGGAAAGAAGCCAGATACAGAAGACTGCATGCCATTTAGGTGAAATGTCCAGAAAAGGTGAATCTATAGAGGCAGACAGTAGATTAGTTTTTGCCTAGGCTGGAGGTGGGAGTGGAGATTAAGTATAAGGGTGTGAGGGGTCTTTTTGAGCTGATATAAACTGGACTATGATGATGGTTGCACAACTATAACTTTACTACAAACCACTGAATTATACACTTAAAGTGGTAGAAAATTATGATATGTAAAGTATGTCTCAAAGAAGTTAAGAAGGAAAGAAAAGGAATAGAAATAGGCCAGCAACTTCACTGCAAGATGAGTCTTCAAGACAAGGAATGGTCAAATTAACACATTCCCTGTTCTCTGTTGGAGGAGGTAGTGAAACTCAAGTACATCTAGCAAGTACATGAGGGGCCCTGCTTAGTGATGTGATCTGTAGGATTCATTTATGAGTTTCTCCTTTTAGAATTGGGTCCAAATCCAGAGGCTCTGGATATGGGTGATGATTTATACTTTTTGGTGATTTATATTTTCATTCTCTTAATTATATGGAAGAATTGGATTTTAATTGGTTCAGACATGGTATTTAAATTTTCTGGAACCAAGTTTGTGTTTCAGGTTTGGGAAATGAGATGTTTAATTCTCCTCTACTGGCTCCTCTGAGTTTCCTCTTGCCTTCTCCATCTCCTTTACTACCTTTTTAAAAATTTTGTTCCAAAAGAGGTTAGTTTTTTATCACCTATCAAGATGTCCACGGAGGCTGTCTGGGACTGTTGTAGTAACTCAGGAACCAAGCTCTTTCTTTCCTGTCTTCACTACCTTGTCTAAGTGAAGTGCTTCCCCAGATCTAGGCCTCAGTCCCTCATTCTTTTATTTCCTTTTTTTTCTAGAGCGTTTAGTCATTGGATGGTCAGCCATCACCTCTCTCCCATAATCTCTCTTTCAGTCCATTGTGCCCACTGGAGTGAGCTATGTGTCTGTGTTCCTCACACTCAGCGTTTCTGCACTTTAACCATTTTTCCGTTCTTCAGCAGGAGGCCACTTTTCTTTTTATCCATATTTGTGCATATCTGTTTCATCTCCTCACTGAAAGAGTTCGAGGCCTCAGTGCTCTGTCAGTGGCTCTCTCTTCCTTGGCCCACAGTCCCTTACCTAGCCTCTGTTTTTCAGTTTCAATACCTCCTTTTTCTCCTGTCCTCACCTTGCTACTCCCACAGCCATTGTCTAGACCAAGGCCCTCCTTGTCGTATGTGTGGGGCACTGTACTCACCTCCTCTCTGGTCTTTCTGTTCCTTGCTTCCTTCCTCTCAAACTCTTCTGTTTTGTACCTAGATTCCTTCTAAATAACCCAAATAAATGTGTCTTTCTTTTGATCTCTAACTCTGAATTATTATGTGGTAGGGAAATTCTTGAATTATGATTACTAATTAGAGTTATTTTTGTAGCATTTAAGATCATGGAGCATTGAAGCCAAAAGATGCTGGATTTTGATAATTAAAAGTTGGCGATAAACTTTGGAGAAATCTGCTTGTCCCATAATTAATCTTTTGAATCACGGGGACAGTAAAATCAGCTCTGTAGCATCAGCATGACATTAAATGGAAGTATACATTTATAAATAAGTGCTTTAATTCCCATTAATCCTTGCTTAAATAAATTCAAAGATCATTTTCATCTGACTGGAAACTCTGTGTTAACCAAACTTTACTGTAAGGGAATACCTTGCATTCAGCTACCTGCTTTCTTAATACCTACCCCTGCTCTTGAATGACCTCCTTTCTCTCCCTCCTTGCTGACCTTGGGAATCTCAGCCTCTCCTTCAATGCCAGCCATAATCTGACCTCTTCCATATGGTTATTTACTGAGAGTCTATTTGTGTTCCAAGCTCTGAGATTATCAAGATGAGGAGGGTAAAATTCTGTCCTCGTGGAGTTTATAGAACCTAGTCGAGGATCCAGAAGTAAACAGACCACTGAATACAAAGTGCCAGGTTTGGGTGCTGTGACAATACAGAGGTGGACCCTGATGAGGGGAACCTGGAAACAGGTTCCGTGGCAGCCATGGTACCTGGGCTGTGGCAAGTTGGCTGAAGGTCCCTTGGGAAAGGAACATGTGGAAGCACTATGTATGGCCAAAGAAAAGATGCAGTGATCTCCTGGGCAGATGATGCCATTGAGTAATGTAAAGATGTGACAAATTTGAGGCATACTGAAGAATTAGTGGCTGTCTCTGTTGGTGAAAGGGAGGAGTGTGGGTGGCCTCCAAGCCGTCTGGCAGCAGGCGTTGGTTTCTTGCACTGATGGTAGGACTGTGAGGGAGGATCACATAAAGGTTGGGTGGAGTTTGGTTTTGGA